AAGTAATTAAATACATTTCTACCATTTTTAGAATTTTCTGTCTGTCTGTCTGTCTGTCTGTCTGTCTGTTTGTTTGTTAACGTATCACGTATAAAGTACTAATTTATATCATAAAAATTGTTAAGGAAATTATAAAGTGTATCTTCGGGTTACATTTAGTCTTTATTTCATTAAAATCAGTTCATTCCATCAAAAGTTATGATAAATATTCTGAAGTATGGGTAGGGAAGTATAGGTACGAATTTGCTCAACGGTGGCTTTGTTTGAGTCATCAAGTGCATTTTAAACTAATATCATATCATAAATCATAGTTAAATTATGTAAAATAATGATATAATTATGTATATCTAAAACGCAGTAAACAAAAGTATTAAAGAACGTATTAAACATATTATACAAAAATATATTAACCTTATTAACTAAATCTGAAGCACAATAGTTAACCCATTTCTTCGATAGATGGTGGTGTTGTGAAAATGTAATGTGTTTTTTTCCTGTAGATGAGTTTTCATATTTACTGCTAATCTTTATTATATTACTCGCTGCCCTACTGCGTGTTGACAAACTTAATTTATTCTTTACCGCCGAGTACTCTATGTGGTAAATCAAATTTTAAAAGAGCTATTAACAATTGCGTTGGTTTTGGCGAGAGTCAAACTTTATTTTTTGCTTACTGTGCAGGCACTGATTTATAAGTTCTCTTACGTTTTATATAATGTATCAATCGCGTCAATTAATCTCTTTTATTTTTAGAATTGATGTTAGCAGCGCCATCTCTCTTTCAATATATACATATAATAAAAATGATGATAACATGTTGTGTCTCTTTCTGTACATTGTATATATATTTTGGTGGCTAAAATCATTATGGGGAACTGAAAATAATTAAATAAGAACATTTTATAATTTTTAGAATTGTCTCTCTGTCTATTTGTCTGTTATTATATGAACGCATCACATCTAAAATAAACATCTTTTATTTTCAAAGAAATCGTTAAGAAAATCATAAAGCGTATCTTCGAGTTACATTTAATCTTTGTTTTATTAAAATTGGTTAATTCTATCGAAAGTAATGATTATTATTTTGAAATGTAGGTTCGAATTTGTTCAATGGCGCCATAAAATCTCAGAAATAGTAATAAAAAGATTTGTGTGTAAAAAAAACGTTCCATAATAATTAATATATTTATACTTAAAACACAAAAAGAGATTTAAAAAGGATGTTTTCTCACACAAAGGACGTAATAGATGGAGTTGTACAAATTACAAACTTTTCTGAATTGCTGTGTTGAGATTTTTCGCCGATGAATCGTATTGAAACTTACTGAAAAAATTTGTATCCATCGAAGCGACACAACAGAACCCGATTAAAAATAAAAATTTTGCAACGAAATGTCGTGATATTGTATTTATAATATACGCAAAATCAGTACTGCCATTTTAGCGCTTTGGGAACTAGATTTAGCGCTTTTTGGAATGTATAGCGCGCATTTCTAAATTTTAGCACCTAGCGCTTAATCCAGCGCTTTTTGGTGTATTTAGCACACATTTCAATATTTTAGCGACTAGCGGGTTATTAACTCTTTTATAGCAGCACTGTTAGTCCACATTACCGATAATAATAATAATGACCTTTATTATTTTTTCCCACAAATAGTACATTGCAGTTTATCTTTTTCAAACATATTTTTTCCACAAAACAAAGAGCATGGGAGACGAGTCCAAACTAGGATACCCTGTGCTATGGATCTCCTGGCTTCCCCTTTAGGATGATCAACTTGATTTTTTTACCGACGACTATAAGCGGGGAAATCCCCTTTATTAAAGTTATCGTTCATGGTTTTGGCAACGCATTTATTTTGCTCAATTCAGTTTCAGTCAGTTGCTTAGAGCACAGCTAAGTTAAAAGTTACTTAGAATTTATAACACAAAGAAACTGTGTAGCAACCGCAATCAGATGCTGACATCTGAAACTAAGTTGCGAAATACATTGCACTTTAAAACAATTAATGACATTTTTATTGTTCGTACAGTACTAACTACTGTTGACAGTAATTGCCATAATTATAAGTCGATGTCCTGCGAAGTATTGATACATCAAAAAAATATTGCCAGAAAAAAAACTTAATGTTGTTTTCTTTATTATGATTATATAAAAAAACACAAACTTTGTTTGTAGTTAATTTAGCGCGATCTAGCTAATCTAGGGCTTTTTTAAAGCGCTGTTTTCATGAAATCTAGCGCTTTTTGTGTTGTCCTAGAACTGAATGAGTTTTTTTTATCTGGCAGCACTGCCCAAAAACCCTCTATTAAGAAGTAACTTTCCTTTCAGTTTTAAGCGCGTTCAGTTCCCAGTTACAGTGAGCGTGTGTTATGCGATGACCGTAAATAAAGCGCAAAATCAAACTTTACGCGTTGTAGGAGTGTACCTCAGTACTGACTGTTTTGCACATGGCCAACTCTATGTTGCTTTTTCCCGCGTTAGTAGCCCCCGTAACCTTTTTGTGTACACCCCGGCTAAGCCTACTTCTAACGTCGTTTACACAAAAGCTCTATCATAAACGACTTAGAACTTTGATGATAATGATTTATTTTGTTACCACTTATTGATACAGTAATGAAATAAATCGTTTAATATTCTCTTACCTAAACGACAAATTCTTTATGTAAAACCTGTATACGCGAGCTACGCCGCGGGCACAGCTAGTTTATAATAAATGCCCTCTGTTACCTGCGTGGTCTATATATAAAATTACCCAAAGGTTTGCTTGAAGAGAACGCTTATTTGAGTTAAGCTCGCCTTTGTACATTTCATTGAATTTTTATCATTATATCATATGTATAATAAAGAATCTAAAGAAGTTCAATCGAATAGTCTATCCTAATATTGATACAGTATTAGGTAAATGAACCAGAATAATGACTAACTAGCACGATTTACTGTCCACCTGATGGTAAGTGGTTACTACCGCCTATGGCCATCAACTTCAAACAAAGAATTACACTTGCTCTCTATCTTAGGATTGATTGATTCACATTATCTACTTACCACCAGTGGGATTGTGTGCTCTTTCATCACTCTTTTTCTATAAAAAAATCACAATTTACTGTGGAATTGTTGTCGGGTTTTCTTCTACATTCAAACGTTATTTACCTATTAACTAGCAAGAGATCCATTACTGACAAATTCGCCTCTATTTTTCGCGATTTTTTATTTGTTTATGTCATAATAAAAATGTACGATTATAATTTTTACATTATTATTATAAAGATTATATTCCGCGGTCGTAAACGGTCAGGTCATCAAAAGTCCATTGCGCGTGTAACATGATGGCCACAGACCCCGACTGAAACGAGGCCAAACGAACATCCAATAAAGCGGAGACATAAAAATTGGTACTTAAAGTTTCTCATTCAATTGTTACCAGGCGGATTTATGACAACTATTGAACTGATGATTTAAGACTTAACCATACGGCGCGAAGAGTTCATTTTTAATTTCCTTTTGTTTGCAATTATCGAATTATTTTTCACTTTCATTTATAAATAATAATACAATTATGTACAGAGAGTTCTTTAAAATAAAACATATCAAGTTTATCAAAATTGTGATTGCTTTATTGTAGTATACAGGAGGAGTTTTTGAACATAAGTCACAGTCAATTTTTTGTAGATAAAGTTGCAGATCTAGTATGAATGAAAGCTTCCTGTGTTAGGAATACCGCCTATCTACTCGCATATAAAACACTTGTCCTTGTTTTTTGTTCGACCTTTTACGTAATTAATGCTATATTTTAAAGCATGTACGGTAAGATTGGAACATTAAATAAGTTCTTTGACCTTTCAATAAGATATTCAACATGAGTTTAATTTTAATTTTGACGTTTAACCTGGTCGTTATTTAATGCCCGGGCCACACTATCTGATAAAATATCGCGTTAATAGGCACTAGACATAGACAGACATAGACACAGGCTTAATGAGCTAATTCTGTAATGACATTCATAATGCCGTTAGACGATAGACTTGTTTGGGTGGCGGTCTTTCGGCACATTAAAAAGATTTAGCGCGTTATTTAACAAACTCAATATTTTTTCATTTGTTCATACAAATCCGTCGTCGAAAGTCACAAAAAAAAAACCGCGGTGCTCAAAACAACTGGCTTGGCATATTACATATATTGTCTATTTCAGCAACCATTGAAGTGTTGAGGAAGAAAAAGGAATCCTTAATGAAATATATTAATGTGATCAGCCATATATTCACAAAATAATTATTTGCACTCATACAGTACACAAACACTGCAGCACTGGCAACGACAAACTCAATTTTGAAATCAAAGTCAATTTAACGCGAGAATTATCGACATACGATGCTAAATGCAAGAGTAACCACTCAATTTAACACGTAAATCAATCCCATACTTTTAAGCCTTGATTATTTCGATTTTGGACGTTGGACACTTACGTTAGTGTGGCCCCAGCATAACGGTTTACATAAATTAATATAATTATATAATTATGAGTGAATAATGTAACTGGTATAATGACAAAAATTTTTGATAATGTTTTAAACTGATAATGGAAAGCTTCTCTAGGTGCCCAAATGTGCACTTTCAGGTTCTAATAGACGACTTAGAAAATGCTGAAATTAAGCCCAACAATAAAGGTAAATTTAAAGGGAACCCAATATTCATTGGTATTTTATATTGACTTAAATGATGAGAATAATAATATTCAACATCCATGACTTACGTAGAAATTGTAGAGACAATCAAAATTAGACTAAATCAGAATCAGAATGTAAACAATAATGTCGAATCATATTCACATTCTGACCACAAAACATAAAACATAAAAGCTCTAATTCTCTGAGAGACTAAGTATTTTATGCATAAAATATCTTTTAGCGATAACGCGCCGTGTCTGTTTCGCGGTATTTATATCAAAGGCGGACGCTTGAGCAAAACAGTGACCGTGTGTTTGCGGGCCGAGTGAGACATGAAGGCTTACGATGTGTACCGACTCGCCGCGCTCTTCTTACTGCACGGTGAGTTAATGAGTTTCATTGTGAAGTACTGAAGCTGGGCGCCGAGTATAAAACAGCCGCGGTAGTACCGTATATGATTTCGTGTGCCTTTAATTAGGTTCTGTATTGGTTAATTAGGTTCTGGTGATTTGTGACGGCCGATAGATGTATTCGTTTTCGATCTTCTTTCACCGAAACTATTTTTCGCGAATGTTAAGTATGTAGAATGCAAAGTTATCCCCTCGCTTGAGGGATTAAAGGTAGTAAGTCAGTCAAAGTGGAAACGATATGTTGCTAGTAAGTTCCTCACAAATATAAGATTATATTGAAGATAGAAGAAGAAGAATTTTTACCGCTATATTGACTAAGAATGTGCCTTTTTGTAGACTTTCTTTTATTGCTTTTTGTTATCCAATATAAAACTCCTACTACAAAAAAGATAAGGAGACCGTTGAACGTTGCTATTATATGGTATCATTAAAGGGAAATTGATTAATAGATAGTGCCTGATAAATTACAGTATCTTTAAGTCTAACACTTAATAATATTACATACTAATTTTAATATATTTTACATAAGTATAGACCATTAAAAAGTCCCGCTGGGTTTCTTGCTGGTTCTTCCCAGGATAGAGGATTTTTTTCGAACCAGTGGTAAAATAAAAAATGACTTTCAATAAGAATTACTTGTAATCAATATTGAATAAAAAATATTCTATTCTATTCTATATATATTATATATAAAGTTATAATTACAGCGGTTGTCGTGTGCCGGCGTAAGAAAATCCATCACTCCATTTTGTCAGTTGCGTTTTAGGTGCATTAAGAAACGACTACGGGAATATGGACATTGCTAAAAAGACCTTTATTAAGATGGTAAAGCCACTTAAATAACTATATTGTGGTTGCAGAATGAATAGGTCGGCTCGACCGGTTAAGGACTAATTCATAAACACTCACGCCTGTCACCCAGAGGGGTAGGCAGAGACTACGGACTTCCATTTGGCGCGATCCTGACACACCTCTCTCGCCTCTTTCACATCCATATATCTACGCATACACGCTCGTCGGTTAAGGGTACTCCTAATCTGGCCCATTTTCAATGTATCGCCGATCTGGTCGATAAACCTTCGTCTAGGGCGTCCCTTCCCGACCCTGCCGTTCAAGGACTACTTTTTTACTAAATACTAGCGTAAAATATCAGCTTAATGCTGCCGTGTTTCGTAACCGGAACTTTCTCCGGTTATGCATAGAACAGGAAAAACTTATTACTAGTGAAGAGGCATTCCATTTTGGTACCTAGGGATAACAACACATCTACATTTTGATTCTAGATCAAGGATAGGTGCGGGAAAAGTCTATGCCCAGTAGAATTTCACGCCGGCGAAATGCAATTGTCACTGATGAGGACTAAAATGCAATGCCTCGTTATCCTTCACAAGTGGTAAAATTAAAATTTTAGTACAACCGACTTCAATATAAATAATTCATTGTTAATTTTTTTAAAACAACTCAACCGATTTCCATAAAATTTAAATGGGACCACCTGGGAAATATATCCTTTGAAAAAAAAAAAGAATTTTCCAAATCGGTTAAGGCGTCTTTGAGTAATCGGTTAACATATATCCAAAATAAGATTCCGACAAATTGAGAACCTCCTGCTTTTTGAAGTCGGTTGAAAATGGTCTCCGGTTATCGTCACTTACGATGCAAAATGTAATACCATTATATGATTAATGGTCCTTTCCCGGTCGAGTTGACCCACTTACGCTGCAGTCATAATGCACTTTACTACGTCAGATTTTTTTTCATTCATTATTAGAGCCGTGATAGCTCAGATGGTTAGCACTCGCTGTAAGCTTCACAGTATGCGAGCAACCCGGGTTCGATCCCCGTCGACACCAAAAATTGTTTAATTGCAATTTTAAGTGCTGACTTATCTCATGCTAGGCGGTGAAGGAAAACATTGTGAGGAAACCTGCATGTCTGAGAAATAAAGAAAAAAGTTTCGAAGACATGTGAAGTTCGCCAACACACATTGGGGCAGCGTGGCGAACATTTCCTTACCCTAAAATCCTTTCAGAAATGAGAGGTCTGTGCCCAGTAGTGGGACGCATAGGCTGCAACTTTACTTTACTTTTATTTTACATTGATTACAACCTATCCAAAGTCCACTGCTGAGCATAAGCCTTTGTCATATTTTGACTCTTGGTGGGGATATTTGCCGTGATGGCTTTTTTTATAGGATAAGGCATCTGCAGTCTTCTTAGTTTGAAGTGGGCTGCCGATATCTATGGACTGCAGTAACCACTAACCTTCAGATGGACTGAAATTTCGTTTACCACTTTAGATTTATAAAAAAAACCTTAAAATAGCATACAATACCATTACGCGGGTTTTTTGTAGTTGTTGAACCAAAGACACGTTTAATTTTTCTTAAAGTTCTGACAAAGACTTCATAATAGACCTCAGGAATGACAATGAATCTGTCTTAATATTTCATAAATGATAATCAAGTGTTTATTGGCCAGTATAGCTGATGACCATCCTCTGTTTAGCGTAATTTTATAAAATAAGGGTGACAAACGAGCACATAGTCCACCTGATGGTAAGTGGTTAATGTGGCCTATAGACATCTACATCTATCCTCTATTACGAATCAAAATGCAGATGTGTTGTCACCCGAAAAAACTAATATGGAATGCCTCGTTTCCAGTAACGAGGATCTCCGGTTCTCTATACTCACCATACGAAACACAGCGACGTTCAGCTGCTACTTTACGCTGGTATTCTGTGAGAGTGGTCCATCCCCGGTCGAGCCGAAACATTCGTGCTACAACTCTACCACTAATATAGCTGCAGCATGGCTCTACCACGTAAAAAAGTTTGGAAGACGGGTTGGAAGCCGCAGTTCATTATTTCAAGTTCTTATCAAGAGAATGCTGATTTTCATCTGTTTTCTCCTTAATTTCCGTCTATTGTCCCTTACGGTACCCACAGAATTGTAGTTCAGGTGGGATTGTAGTTAAGCGCTGGCTTACAATAATTAAGAAAAAAAAGAATATCGGGTAGTGTATGTTCTTACGCGGCCCCTACACGACGTTATATATACGATTGTAAAATATCGTCAAGTATGTGAATGCCTTGTTGCTAGTCATGCGGTTCCAATTTTTATCACTAAGCCTAGTAACATAGTTGCTACGTTCTATTTACAAACTTTTTTAACTATATTATAGAGATATAAGAGAATATTTGTGATTTATGAGAAAACTTTGCGAAAATATTGTTATTAACTATAAAACTGAGTTTACCACCACTGAAGATCATCTCATATTATTCAACTTAAAAAGAAAGGGTAGGGAAAAGAGATTTATCAAATAGACTTTTTGTAACAGCAAACTTATTGGTCCATCGAGCCAGATTAACCTAAACGCAAAGTAGGCTACTGGCTGTCGGTCCCGGGAGATTCAAGCGTTTTGCGGTGTGGAGATAGGAAGTTAGACAAAGGGAAATGAGGACCCAGTTTCGCAATGCCTAGGGGACACTATGTGACTTTATCCGACCCTGAGTCCATCTGACAACACAGCCAACTTCAAAACGGCGACTTGTTAGCTTGGTACCTAAGTGTTTAGATGCGGCGTTTCGAGCTACAGGTTCGAATCCTGTATCGAACAACTATTTGTGAGACCTACAAATAATTGTAATTTTTTAACATGTAGGTAACGATTTTATTTAAAAAAACCCGAGTGCTTTGTCATGCCCTGGGATTAATATGGGAAGTCGCATATTGTCTGTGATCAACTAACGGTGCAGTAAGTTCATTGAATCGTCATTTATCCAAACATTCGTGATTTAAAAATCTAACAGGTGTTTAAATCTATTTTTAGCTCTAGCAATAATAATTAGAATTTTCGTTATCAGACAGTCAGTGATTTAGTCCGTTCCGGTTTTAGCACCGCACATATTTAATTTTGTAGATATTGTCGTTGATATATACAACCATATAATTTAAATTTCATACTTAGTGTCTTAAAACTTGGAGACTGTGTTACCGATTGATGATATGCTATATATATGATGATAATATGTAAGGAGTAAGTAAAGAGAGAATAAAGGAGAATGAAAGAGAAAAACATGCTATGTTGACCTCAAATAACTTGGGATAAGAAAGAAAGAAAGAAGAAAGAAATGAAATGCATTTGTTTTCCAGAAATAGGTTTACACATTTTAACTTTAAGAATAAACAAAAATAACAGATAATTAACTTCTAAAACTTAATAACGAAACCAAAACACTAAGTTATAAATCATCATCATCATCATTACAGCCCTTTACAAGTCCACTGCTGAACATAGGCCTCCCCCAAATAATGCCACAAAGCACGGTCCTGAGCCACCTGCATCCATCGACTTCCTGCATGTCTTACCAGGTCGTCACTCCATCTCGTGGGGGGACGCCCTACACTTCGCCTACCGGTACGAGGCTGCCACTCGAGAACCTTTCTTCCCCATCGATTGTCGGTTCTTCGAGCTATATGGCCGGCCCACTGCCACTTCAGCTTACTAATCCGTTAAGTTATAAATGTAAACCTTAAATAAAAGATAAGGACAGGAAAAAGATGACATAATCTATACATATAATAAAACTGTAAATAGCAGATGTCTGTACATTTTATATTTTTGTAATAAAAGTGATTGAGGGGTACTAAAAATAAGAAACTAAATACATTTCTACCATTTTTAGAATTTTCTGTCTGTCTGTCTGTCTGTCTGTTTGTTTGTTAACGTATCACGTTTAAAGTACTAATTTATATCATAAGAATTGTTAAGGAAATTCTAAAGTGTACCTTCGGGTTACATTTAGTCTTTATTTCATTAAAATCGGTTCATTCCATCAAAAGTTATGATAAATATTCTGAAGTATGGGTAGGGAATTTGCTCAACGGTGGCTTTGTTTGAGTCATCAAGTTGATGTTAGCAGCGCCATCTCTCTTTAATTAAATATATACATATAATAAAAATG